TCTCTAAGAGATGGGGCCTGGTGGGGAGGTCTTTGGGTAGTTTGGGGGCATTCCCTTGAAGGGACTTGGAGGTTCAGGTCTCTTCCCCTGGCCATAGGGCTGTGGCTTGGTGCTCCTATCTTACTAGCCTGGTTCCAAAGACCTAAAGGCAGTGGGTCTTCCCCTCTAGTAGCTGAAACCTCAGAAACCAAAGCCCACCAAAGCCTTTCCCTTCTCTGAGCTACCTCAGGGATGTATTACTGTGATGAGAACGTAGATATCAGAAAGGGAGGCCATATCATCACTCTGCATTCTTGGGACCCTCGTGGAAGGGTCCTCTTCTCACTCTGGCCCCAGTGAGACATGGTAGGAAAGTATCTAAAAAGAGGTAGTCTCCATTACTGGTTGCTATCACTGTTTAGATGTGATGCCTGGAACTGAGGCAGCAGTCTTGTGGTCACGAGGGAAATTTGCCCTCTGAGCTGGTCTACTGGGGAAGGCAATATAGAAAGAAGCCTGGGTCCCCATTGGTGTCACCACAGAACTAACCAGTCCTGGGCCATCCTACTTCTGTCGGGGCTGCTTGACAGGAGGCACAGCATTAGCGTTTAAGCCCCTCTGCCTTCAGGTTTATTGCAGCACTGTATTCAGTCCTCTATTTTTGCTTTCCTGAGTCCCTGCTTCGGTAGACCAGCACTGAGTACCACTTTGGAGAAAAGCCACACTCCTTGCTCACCCCATAGGAGCTCAGCCTCTGGGGGCCTGGCTGCTCATTACATAACCTTGTTGCCTGAGACAGCCATAGAGAGGCTGAGGGCCGTATTCAAAACCTCAGGTAGCAAGGATTGGGGGGGGGGTTGGAGGATGTGTTGTGGGGACTGCTTGAGGAAGGTCATTCCTAGACCCTCAGAGCCAGCACCCCTTCCCTACCAGTGCCCAGGCCAGCTTGTCTAGCTCTCAACAATGCAGGCAGGGAGGGTAGAGGTGTGGCCTGGAGCCAGAGGGCCTTTGTAGAAGGAGTGGGCTGCTCTCTTGCTATGGCTCGCTTGCCCGCTGTGGAGTGAAAGCAACAGCTGATTATAGAACAGCTGTGCCAGCATTCTCCTGCAATGTCCCAGGGCCCCATGAGGGCCCTCCCCACGGTTATTTGTTTAAAACCCTCTTGCTCTGCTTTGATCTGCAGTGTCGCCAAAAACAAAAGCAAAGCAAACCAAAAGGAACCCCCAAGATTCAAGCAATCAAACTCATCCACGCACCACACCAGCCAGTTGCTCCTGGGAAACGGACTGGTGGTCAGGAGAAGGGCCTTGAAGAAGGCATTTCCATTCCAGAGGGAAGTACCAGGTGCCCCAAGGCCACCTGCCAGTACCAAGTGGAGGACCTGTCCTTGACTGAAGGTCCCTGGGACTGGCTCCCTTGAGCTGGGGCAGACAAGGAACATCCCTTTTGACCTGCCTTGATTCCTGGCCCAGAGCTCCTAACCTTCTCCCTGTACTGAGTCCCTTTGCTGTGACCCATGTAAAAAAAAGTTGGGCAAGGTGACACCTGGTTATAATCCCTGTGAAGAAAGCAGAGAGGAGGATCCTTGAAGTTCACTGGCCAGCCAGTTTAGCCTACTTGGCAAGCTGCAGGCTAGAGACTTTCTAAAGTAAACAAGGTGGGAAGTTTCTGAGGAACACCACCCAAGGCTGACCACAGGCCTCCACATGCACTCACAAACACATGCATGCACACCTGCATCCACATGCCCACAAGAACATGCACCAAATATACATACACATGAACATACCCCTCCCATAAGACTTCCTATCCCCTCACTTGCCCTAGCCTCCTGGCCTGTTTTCCTCTACAGAGTTAACCCTGACCAGGAGAAAGTGACCAGGGTGGTGAGCACCTGTGGGCAGCTCCTAGGATCAGGTCTCCCACTCTTCAGCCACTAACACTCAAACTCTCCCTTCATTATCAGCTGTGGATTGCTACAATGCTTAACAAGACCTTGTGGAAGGTTCTAGAATGTGCAAGGAAGGGATCTACAATGTAAAGCACAAGTCCAAGCCATGGTAATCATTCAAGTTGGCTGTGCTCAGAATTTCTGGCCTAGGGACTAAGTATTCCAGAAGGAGACCTTGAACATATTCATGGTGTTTGTCATGAGAAAGTGGGTATCTCAATTCCAGATGGGACAGCCTTCAAACCCTACTTCCTTTGCTTCTGTGCTCTCTCCAGGGCCATCAGCGGGCCAGATGGTGCTTGTTCTTAAGAGGGTGAGAGGCTGTCCTTTGGTCTACTCACTCAACGCCAGGGCCCTCCAGAAACACCCTCAGAGACACCCAGAAGTGATATGTGAATGTACATCCCATCTCAGGGAGGGTCTTTGTCCTTCTGGGGCCCAGGAGTCAGTTCCCTGGCTCACGACTTTTGGGACAATGCCTCATGGTTTATGTCTAAAGGAGGGCTCTCTACATCTAGCTGAAGCTGGGCGGGCTGAGAGTTTGGGTGTCTCCCCAGGTTGTGTCAGGTGCAGTCAGTCTTTGCCACATCGGCTGGCAGCTCTCCATGCACAGGTGTAGCTGTGCCTACTGCAGATCACTTGTAGGAGAGCACATCCAGCGCTCAGCACCAAACCCCAATCCAGGTCTACGTTCAATGCATCTTTCTATACCCCAATTGCAGCAGACCTCTGCCGCCGCCAAGCCACCATCACTGCAACCTAACGTTCCTTCCAAGGCAGCAATGCCACAGAGGACAGAATGAGGACAGAACATTGCTAGAGGACAGCCTGGTCTTTGCTGTCACCCATGAAACTTTCCAGTCTGAAGCATCTGCCTTGAGCTCCTTCTCAGCATGAGGTCCCCCTAAGAAGGAGAGGGGGTCTTGTCAACTACAAAACTCATCTGCCTATCCAGGTAGTGCTCCCAGAACTAGGGACACTGGCCCCTTGGGACATTCAAACCAGTATCTTAGGAGGCAGTATTGGTAAAAGGCCTTCTGGAGTGGGGAAGATGTAAGCAATGTCCACCCCCTTCCCCCAAGGTCCCAACAACAAACCGAGGAACAATTCCATCAGAGTTCACCCTGGGGTACCCATGTATTTATTGGGCCTTCTTACAGAGCAATGGGTGAGGGGATCACTTACAGGAGTATGGGCACCCTTCCCAGAACCATACCAAAAAGTTTTCACTCAGCATGGATGACTTCACCATAGCTTCATAGATGAGGCCCCCTCCGTCTGACTTCCCTAGTCTACATACTTTAGCCCTTCCCCCAAGCAAATGCAATTGGACCAGCTGCTTACCATGAGTTGGGAGGTGTGGCTGGATACTTAGGTGGGGGTCCCATGACTCTCCCTGCCTCTCCTTTTATGCCAGGGCATTAACATTCAGCAAGCCCAGCTGTGATATCTTTGAGGAGTAGGTACAACTGAACTCAGGAAGATGGTTAGAGGGCAGTCCTATACAATAGGCACCCAACTTCTAAATAAAAGTGTTTCGTTTGTTGGTTTCAGCTTTGGAATCTCAGGCTCTTCTTGCTGTGGCCTGTGCACCACGATACAAAAAAATGGTAGCATGGAAGGCAGGCATGGTGACTCACACCTGTAATCTCAGTACCTCAGGAGGCCAAGGCAGCAGAATCAGGAGTAGGCCATCCTCCACTACATAGCAAACTTGTGGCCAGCCTGGGTTATATGAGCTCTGCCCCCTCCCCCCAAAAAAGATGGAGCACAAAAGAGACTCTGTATGTCCTAGAAGGGCATCACTAACCTGGTAGAAGTGAGTGGACCAAGATTAATGGCCTGGGGAGACATAGTGGCACAAGAGAGCATGATGGCTACATCCTGGACAGAAGGGTGGAGGAGTCACAGGACAGTGGAGTCAGAGCAGTGACAAAGATGCAGAGATGGGAAACTTCTATTTTTGGGACCCAACAGGTTCTTATGAGTATTTACTCCTGTGATGTCACGGTGTTTCTGAAATCAGAACCCAATAGGCTGTTGGATGGGAGAAGGCTGGGGGGATGTGGACACCACAGTCCTTCCAGCCTTCATTTATTCTATACTGCCACCTTTGTTTTTATTTTAAAAATTTGTGGAGGTGTGGTATGTGCATTTAAGTGCACACGCCGGAGGAGTTCAGAAGAGGATGTGGATCCCCCGGAGGTGGAGTACAGGCAGATGTGAGTCACCCGATGTGGATGCTGGGAACTAAAATCAGGTCCTCTGTACAAGCGGTATGTACTTTTAACTGCTGAGCTACCTCTCTAGCCTGGTGCACACATTTCACTTGCTGGTCTCCTGCTGGGTGGCAATAGTCAAATGATGAACAATCCCATAAGGTCTGTTCCTAGGGTGCTCAGGGGTAACACATGAGCCCTGTATTACTCAAATGGCCTCATGATGAAGACAGGCTATATTTATTAGACACTGTTCTTGTTGCTGTGATCAACTACCTGACAAGAAGCAATTTAAGGAAGGAAGGGTTTATCTTGGCTCACAGTTTGAGGGTATAAGCCAGTTTCTCCTTCGCTCTCTTCCCTACCCCCCCAGAGGTTTGTTTCCATAGTGACTTGAAACCCCTTCAAGTAGACAAGGCCAACTATTACACAGTCTCCACTGAAAACTACACACTTGCTGGTTGCAAAAGGGGTGTACATCGTCCTGCGTTCTAATTAACAAACGGCAGGACACCGGTGAGTGCAACTTGTTTTCCAGAACCCCCCAAACTGCTCCTGGTGGCCTCTAAGAGTCCCTAAGTCTGAATTCAGCTAGAGCCGAACTCGACTGGTGATGGGTGCACCCTGAAAACCTCTTCCACTGGAATCTGGCTGCCCGGGTCCCCGGTGTCGCACAAACATAGCCAGGAGAGTAAGCTGAGCCCTTCATACTGTCAGACACGCAAAACTCCTCTGCGCATGCTCAAAATCCCAGCTGCTTGGTGCTGCTGCAGCACAGGTCACGTGGCCATGCCACGTGTGGTAGCACGAGAAACGGCTCACGCAGGACGTCCAGGGGGCGGAACTTCAGGCCCAGAACGGATCCCGATTGGGTGGCAGGGCTGCTTCTGAGGCGCGTGCAGCGCTGAGGCGGTCTTCGTGCTTTGCTGGCCAGCCGGGGCTGTTTGGCGGGAGTTGGCAGCGGGTGTGAAGGTGAGCCTCGTGGGAGCCACTGGAGGTGGGCCTAGTCAGGTCTGGGTGTGGCAGCAACCACCCGGTTTGTGTGTGTGTGTGTGTGTGTGGGTGTGTGTGTGTGTGTGTGTGGGTGTGTGTGTGTGTGTGTGTGGGTGTGTGTGTGTGTGTGTGTGTGTGTGTGTGGAGGGGGGGCCTGTTTCAGTGCTGGGCATGTCATGTCACACAGATGAGCTCCCCTGGGAGGGGGGGCGGGGGAGGGAAACGTGTGGCTCGCGATGGCCCTGGGGAGTGTGGTTTTACCTTGCGTTTGGCTTCCGGGCCCCCCTAGACAGAGAGGGGAGCAGTCAGGACCGACTTCCGGGCCGCCCTTGGGGCAGTCGCCTCGCCTTCATCTTGGGGCTGGGGGAAACAAAAGGGCCAGGTTCCAGGTGAGCCTTTAAGTCTGAGTTCAGGCCTGCTTAGTAGGGCAGGAACTGTCCATCCTGGGCGCGGGCTTGCATTCCTGCTTCTGATCAAGGGCTGCACCCTCGGATGTACACAGGGGCCAGGCACAAATATCACCCGTGTGTTGGCCAGTGGGAGCACGCATGGTGCCGAGTGAAAGGGATGGAGGCTTCTGGGCCCCTGTGGGGTGTTTGCTCAGACATGCCACATCTCAAGATTATTTTTATAACAGCAGCTGGAAACCCCACTCTGTGTAAGAAGCTCTCCAATTTTAAATGTTGCCCTTAATTCATAACGTTTCAGCATGTTATGTAGCCAGTGGATATGTGTGTGTATGTGTGTGTAAGTATGTATGTATGTTGCATTTGGTCCTGGGGGAACAGGCATCCGGGCAGGAGCTACAGGTTTATTTGGGGAACAGCTGTATTCTCGAACCTCTGGGTGTGGTGGCTGGTGAATGTATGTAAATCCAGTGCTTGAGGAGACAGGAGGAAAATTTCCAAGCCAGTCTGGGCAACATAGCAAGACCCTGTGTCAAACCTAAAACCTGAGATGTGTCCCTAAATTGACCTGGGCCATGTGATCTAAGTAGTTGTCTTACTTGACAAATGGTAATTGCCCCTGGCCTTTTACTCTGCTCTTTTAGGGATAGCACTATTTAATGAAGGTAGGTTTGGGTTTGGGAGTGTTCTGAGACTGTGGAGTACCTTCCTTGCAAATGAGGCAGGAAGGATTCCCCAAACTGCAGCCATGGCTTTGGGCCTCCCTGTGCTTAGGGTCTGTGAATGGAGCTATGAGAACATTTTTCAGAATAGGGAATGTGTTTGAGATGAGAGCTTCAGAGCCTGTGCTTTGCATGAATCATGATCCTATCGTTACTTGGCTTTGTGGTTCTAAACTGCACCAATGGGAGAAACCCAGCACCCGAGGAATTCCTGGAGATGAAGTTGTTGGAATCTGCACCCCCCCACTCCCTCACCCCATTTCTTCCATGCTGCCTGAATTGCTGGGTGTAGAGATGAATCACTTGCCACTCTTGCCCTAAGGACACTTTCAGATGATGTGGGGGAAATGAAATGGGAGCTGTGGAGGGCTTCACAAGACTGCTTTCCTGGCAATCTGGGGCTATGGAATCTAAGGAAGAAAGGAAGACTCTAAAGGCATCATGAACCTACACCTGTGGGCAGAATTTGGTGGTAGCAAGAATGGAGAATGCACGCTCAGGCTGGCATGCTATTAGTGTGATGGAGTGAGGAAAATGTAAATAATTGGGCCAGACTACTCATCAGGGACATGGTGGGCTCACAGTGGAATTTTGGGACCCAGTCTTTGGCTAGGAGGTGTACAGTGCTGTTTTATGGAAGGATACTTGCTAGTTTAGGAGCTTCTGTAGTGGAAGAGAAATGAGGTACCAGGGAGTGCTACTCAGAGGTTGCTTGTGGGGAAATCTGTTTTTTTTCCCCAACTTATGAACAAGTCTATGTGGTATTTCTCTGTGTTCTGATCCTTGGCTTCTCTCCCTCTTCTAGAAGCTAAAACATATTCCTAATAATGATTGAAAAGGTAAAAAGCCCTCTCTTGGTAGAGAGGAGAAGAGCAGCCAGGCTTTGGTGGCTTTGTGGGGTGAGGAACTTGTTCCTCTCTGGCAACATTGTGCCTCCTTCCTGCCAGTCAAACCCAGCCAGATCCTGCCTTTTTTCCCCTTCTGAATGGAGGATCCTAAGTCTCCATTACAGCGCCAAAGGGCATTAGGAGACAGCAGGGTGGTGTGGATGGAAGATAGCTAATCTCCTCATGTTTGCCTGAGGATACCCCTGACTTTTTCAAGGACAGCTGCCTTCCTGGGGGAACCACGTGAGTGTGGGGCAGGGATTTGGTCAGACTCAGCCTCCAGCTTCCAGTCTGGATCTTCCTCACTGCTCCTTGCCTGACTTGCCTGTCCTGGGATGGGAATATGGGTTTACCCACAAGCCCTTGGGTATGGCTCAGATTCCATATGATTTTTTTCTTCTGCCTTTCTCTAGGTCAGGATCCTGTGCAGAGAGAGGCAGAAGCGCTTAGTTTCCAGATCTTATAGACCATCATGGATACCATGTTGAAGTCCAGTCCCCAAACCCAGCCAACGAGTAGCCACAATGGTCAGGAGGTATTGTGGGCTCTCTCATGTAGTTTGCCCTCCAGCCTTCCCTCTGGTGCCTGGTATCCCTCTCCCTCTGTCAAGGACCCTGACTTCTCTCACCTCTCCTGTGGCCCTTTTCCAGACAAGCCTTTGGTCCCCAGGCTTTGGGATGAAGATGGAGGCCATTACTCCATTCCTGGGGAAGTATCGCCCCTTTATGGGTCGCTGTTGCCAGACCTGTACCCCGAAGAGTTGGGTAAGTAATGGTAGTGATGGGCCCCTGCCTTGCAAAGCTTGGGCTAGCTTAGTTCTGGTAGTAAGGATCCTAGAAGTTGCTTCTTTACTGTCTTTCCAAGCCTCGTCCTTCCCTGCTCCATACCTTTGCTTTTTTCCAGTAGAATGAATGCACAGGGGTGCGTTGTTGGGCTGTGGCTTGGGAGAGTTGGGTAGGAAGCACAGAGGGGCCTCAGGAGAGAGAGATTATGCCCAGAGGACTGGCATTTAACCAGGTCTGCACTAGTCCTGTTACACAGTTTGGGGACATTGCCCTCTCAGACTTCCCTAGCACTTAGTACCTCTTGCATGTCCATGCTATATGCTGGTGCCAAGGGGTCTCAAGAGTTCTAATGGAGATCCAGGTTATATGTCTTCTGCTCTTGATGGGTTGAAATCCATTCTCAATCTCTAAGGGAAATTCTGTACAGGGTACAGTGGTTCTGTTTTGGGTGTGGAACCCTTTTTTCCAAGACAGCATTGGAATCTGAAGTCAGAGGTCTTATAGGAAATGTACTGTACTCCTTTCCCTTGGTAGACTCAAAAGGGCCATCAGGCAGAGGCTAGATGGCAGGGCGCAAACTTTCCTGGCCAGTGCAAAGGCCCCACAGGACATGGCTGTCCTTTCCTTCTTTGGGCAGGAGACCCTCTTCCACAGAAGCATCATGGATCTGGGTTTCTGCAATGTGATTCTTGTGAAGGAGGAGAATACCAGGTAGTCGAAGAGCCAGGGGCACGGTGGTATGGGACCTGCTTTGGGGTACCGCTTTCTTTCTGTCCTCTTCTGCATACCCTCAACATGAAGAGGCTTGTTTGTCCTCATGTAGTTCCTTTTGTGAACATGTATGGATTGCCCAATGGGTGTCAGTCATCGAAGCCCCCTCAGTGGAGAAGAGGGTGGGAATAGGGCCCAGATAGGCTGGTGGCTCCACTCTTTGCTCTGCGATAGAGCTTTCCTGGGGTGCAACCCCCCCGATGACTAGCCCTCTGGACCCTGGGGAGCCCTCTCAGAACTGTCCATCCATCTGTGACCACCCCCCCATGTGCCGGGGGTTGTATACAGGTTTCGGGGCTGGCTGGTTCGCAGGCTCTGCTATTTCCTATGGTCGCTGGAACAGCACATACCTGTTAGCAGCAGTGCCTCACAGAAGACCGTGGAAAGCACTGGGTGAGGAGGCAGGATTGGGTCTGGCATTTGCTGGATACACAAAAGGGTGACAAAGGCTCCTGGCTAGGGTGGCAAAGGAGGGCTGGGGCAAGCTTCCAGAATGTTAGCCCTGCCTGGGCTTATTTCAAAGACTCCTGCCTATGTGCTAGGGAAGTGACCTGAGAGACCTTTGGTGTCCAGCTCAACACTACTTTCCTGCAACCAACAGGGTGCAGAACCTGCTCTCAGGGAGGGCTCCAGGAGGGGCTGGGGAAGGCCAGGCACCTGACATTGTGAAGAAAGAGGTACAGCGCATCCTGGGCCACATCCAGGCCACACCCCGACCATTTCTGCTTAGGTAAGTGCTGTGAGGGGCATTTGTCCTTCGGTTGAGGCTGCTGCCCTTAGAGGCTAGGCAGTGTTGACCAAAATAAGCTGAGCCTACTGTTGCTACCTGCCTTCCCTCCTAGGTTCATCTAGTACAGGTCTGTATCCTTAGATGCAGGGGATTACATAGGTGAACTGAGAGATACACACAGTTGCTAAAAGGAAGGAACAAGGGCAGAGACAGAATACCCAGAAGGAAGCAGATGAAACCTGTAGTCCAGGGCCAGAAGGGGAAAAAAGTCAACCCTAGGGTTACAGGAGTAAAAGTAGGGGAAACAGTCTTTTTTGAGGGAACAGTATGAGCTGTGGCCATGAGCAGGAAAGGGCCAGTTTCACTGAAGAAGCTGATCTGGTTGGAAGCTGGCACGTGAGACAGAAAGCAGCTGGAGGTGAATTTGAGGGGTAGAAGGGAAGAGATCATGCAGTGATCTACAAGAAGTTCAGTCTGGCTCTCTAAGGGTGGTAAGAACCAATTGAAAGATTGGAAATGAAACATAGCAGTTTGAGTTGGGGTCAAGAGCAGAGAGCAGAATAACATCTGGAAGGCTTAGTCCAAACAGATGGGATGATGGGCAGAGAGGTTAGAAAGAGGGGATTGAGAGGTTAAGTGATGCTAACAGGACTCATGGATAGTTTGGGTGGTGGGGCTGGGGAGTTGGGGGAGAGGGGAGTCCTGCTTCTGGCTTAGTACCTGGAAGTGTGTCCAAAAGTGGACAGGCTTGCTGAGAAGGGAGTTGGTCCAGGAAGGATGTTTTGGATTTAAAGAGTTTCGGTACCTGACTTGACGACTTGGTTGTCTAAATAGGTTCTGGAGCTGAGATGAGAGGTCTAGACCAGAGATATATATATTTGCAGAACTTTATTATGTGTTGATGTTTAAAGCTAGAGAATGAATGAGCCACTGAGGAAAGGTAGGCTCAGGGTTGTGTGTCAGGCTCAACTGTCTTAAGTGTTCAGTGGCTGACTGAACAATAAGTAGAGGCTGGTGGTGATCTTGAGCAGTCCTCCACTATGACAGTTTTTACTGTTGAAGCTTTCAATCTCTTGGCCTCATGATGCCAGTGCCCTTGTGAAGGAGCTCTTAAGCACAACCTTGGCTGGCCATCTGCCTCCTCTGTACACCTAAGCAATCAAGTGGGGCTGGAGAAACACCCTGGGTGGATGATTCCCTCATCAGTGCAGCTCTTACAGGGACACATAAAATTCTCTAGTGTTCCCATCCCACCGCTTCTCAGAATTGCCCCATCTAATGCCTTCTGGAGAAAGAGAAGCCACATGAGATGTGGACTTGCTGCTTGCCTGGCACAGTTCCTGCTATCTGAATCTGGTTGTGAACTGGACCCCTATTGAGCATCTGACCAAATGCCCACTTACCTGACTTACTTTCCAGTGACCCATGCCCTCCTTGTGTCATTATCTCTTTCCCTTTGTTCCACCTTTCCTGGTACCTGGCAAAAACAAGCTGACTGGGTTCTGTCTGGAGAGGGTCTGGATCCTCTAGTCTTTTAGATAAATGGAGGTAGATGCTGTGTCTGATGTGAGCCAGAGCCACCGTAAGGTCTTGGGAGAGTCAGTCAGTGCCTCACAGGTATGGGCAGTGGTGTCAGGACCCCTTGCAGCCTCAGCACCTCACTGAGCATTCTTTATTGTTAAGCAGATTGTGACTGCTGAGACTCACTCTCCTGTCCTATACAATGTGAACAGTGGTATTACATGTCTTAGAGGAGTGCTGGGCTGCCTTCTGAGTTGGGAGGCATTCTGAGGTATTATGGGACCAAGTCTTGTGGGAGGTGACCCTGCTGCATCTTAGGCTGGCATTGCTTCCCAGGCTGTTGAACTGGGCACTGCTGTGGTTCCTGAACCGCCTTTTTCTGAATGTGCAGCTCCATAAGGGGCAGATGAAGATGGTCCATAAGGCTATCCAGGAGGTAAGCCAGCCTGTACTGGGACAGACTGGGAGGACCAACTTGTAAGTGGTCCCTCAGTCCATACCAGCCATGTCAGTTGGTGGAAAAATCTGTTCTTGTGTACCCTTCCCTCCATGCCTCGCTGTCCTGCTCCCATGGGGTCTCCCTCACAGTCTCAACCACCATGTCACTGCATTACCTTGAAAGTGTGGAAAGGCTGCTCTCCATTTGGGAATGTGCAAAGGAGGAGCTATTCAGGGGAGCCCTCCCTCCCTTAGGGCTGACCTAAACCTGTAAGTGCTGGGGTTTGCATGTCTTCAGGGTAGGGAAGGTGGGGACTTCCTTCTGGTTCTCTTTGGAGCAGGGCCCACCATTGGTCTTCCTCTCTACTCATAAGTCTCTGCTGGACGGGTTTCTGCTGCCCTTTGTGCTGCTCTCTCAGGGCCTGGGTGTCCTCCGTGTGGCGTGGGACCCCTGCACCTGCTCCCCAGCTCTCAGGTATGACACATGAGGGAAGTCCCAGGCTGGAGCAGGGGAGGGGAGTTGTGCTACTCTCTTCTTAACACCTTTGTTTTCAGCCACATAGAAGCCCAGCTTATAGACTCAGATGGAGGGTTGGCTATGGCGTCCCTGGGCCATGGCTGCCTCAAGTATCTAGACAGCACACAGACTGACCTGGGAAAGGCAAAGCCTTGCAGGCCTCTCATCCCAGTTTCTCCTCCAGAGCTGCTTCTCATTAGGCCCTGTCCTGTGCCCACAGAGCTCTACTGAGGAAACTTGGGGGACTTTTCCTGCCCCCTGAGGCCAGCCTCTCCTTGGACAGCTCAGAGGGTATCCTTGCAAGGACCGTGGTCCATGCGGTGAGTGTTCTTAGACATTATGTGTGGGACAGACCAGTGGTACAGCAGTTTGTCTCTGGTCTGGCCTTGACGACCACCCTTCCTTTTTCCAGGCTGTAGAGCAGCTTCTAGCCAGTGGGCAGCCCTTGCTCATCTTCCTGGAGAAGCCGCCTGGGCACCTAGGGCCCCGGCTTTCAGCCCTTGGCCAGGCCTGGCTGGGAATGGTGGTACAGGTGGTCCAAGCAGGTGTCATCCCAGATGCCACACTGGTGCCAGTGGCCATTACCTATGACCTGGTTCCAGATGCACCGTGTGACGTGAGCCACGTGAGGCTCTCTTGTCCCCAGGGACCCCAAGTAAACAGCAGTTCAAGATAGGAGGCACAATATTATGTTCTGTGGCTGAGTTCCCTTAGGGCTGAGGTCAAAGTGTGGAGTGGGGTGTGTGTGAAGGAATCCTCCCCATAATCATCATTTTGCAGTGTCTCCCAAGGCCTTCATCGTCATTATCTTATCACATCTTTGAAAGACCCCATTAGGGGCACTGGAGAGATGGCTTAGTGGTTAAAGCACTGGCTGCTCTTGCAGAGGACCTGGGTTCAGTTCCCAAAACCCAAATGGTGGCTGACAACCATCGTAACTCCAGTTCCAGGGGATCTGATGCCCTCTTCTGACCTCCTTGTGCATTGTATGACATGGGTGCACTTAAATGCAGGCAATGCACTTATATACATCTAATTTTAAAAAACATTAAAAGACCCCATTAGGGAGGGATTTCTCATTTTCATGGGCTAAAAGACAGGAGCTGGCCAGCCTGGTTTACACAGCGAGTTCCAGAACAGCTGGGGCTACAGGGAGACCCTGTCTCAAAAAGACCAAAAAAAAAAGCTTGGAGAGGACATGTTGGGCCAGAGTTGAACAGGCTGGTAGCAGAGGTGCCTCTGGAGAGCAGGATGGGATAGCAGCCCTGAGGCCTGCCCAAGAATAGTAATCACAGGAAGCTGCTGCAGCAGCCTTTCCCTCCCTGCAGGACCTGGCCCCCCTGGGGCTATGGACAGGAGCCCTGGCTGTCCTGAGGAGACTGTGCAGCTGCTGGGGCTGTAACCGCAGAGTCTGTGTCCGGGTGCACCTTGCCCAGCCATTCTCTCTCCAGGTATGGAGCCAGCTGGGAAAGGCTGGGAGATCCTATGTGTCAGTACTAGGACTTGTGGCAGTTTGGTTTTCAAAGGCCCTGCAGGGAGGGTGTTTCCTGTCTCAGGTGGGCTGTGTGCAGGCTTCTTGGGGAGCCAGAGCAGACAACAAGTGTGTCTTTGTCCTGGACCAGGAATACACCATCAATGCCAGAAGCTGCTGGGGTCGCAGGCAGACCCTGGAACAGTTGCTGCAGCCCATTGTGCTGGGCCAATGGTAGGAACATGGATATGTGGGTCTCAGGGGCATGGCAGGTGGTCCTTCAGTTTGTATAGTGGCCACTCCACCACATCAGCAGCCCTCCCAACACAGCCTTGGGTTATCAGGAACAGCATCAGACACTAAGCCTTCCTACATTCATGAGTGTGGCACAGGGCATGCAGGCCTGGGAGAGGGCTACATGAGCTTTCCCTGGGCTTAGGGGAAAACAGCAACACCCTTGAGAAAGCATTGATGACTTTCCCATGACTTTATTTAGATCTTTAAGAGACAGGGTCTCCCTGCAGCCCCAGTTGGCATGGAACTCGATATATAGACCAGGCTGGCCCCGATCTCAGAGAGATCCACCTACCTTTGTGTGTACCACCATGCCCAGCATCCATGACTTTAATCTGGTTCCTTCATTCTTTGATCTGTGTCTCTCTCTTAGTACTGCTGTCCCAGACACTGAGAAGGAGCAGGAGTGGACCCCATCAACTGGGTCCCTCCTGGCCCTCAAAGAAGAGGACCAGCTTCTGGTCAGGAGACTGAGCCAGCATGTCCTGAGTGGTGAGAGACACCTAGATCTGTGCCTTTGGGGCGGGACTTAAGCATTATCTTCTGTGAGTCACACAGAGTCAGTCATAGGACCCTGTGGTTGTCAGCACATGACCTAACCTTCCTTGGTGGCAAACTCAGGACATCTGAAGGAGAGTGGCTTATCACTCCTGCCCCTGAGGAGTGGGGCAGTCAGGGAGGGGAGAGGAAGCAGATAAATGAGCTCAGACACCTGTCTGACCCAAAGACAAGCCCTGGCTGTGTCACACTCTGGGCTTGTGCAGGATATCTATGCCATGCTCACCCACCCCATCCCCTCAGGCCCTGCCCTAAACTGTCAGTGGGGATGGCAGAACAGTGGAGTAGCACATGTGACTGCAGAGAGGGCTCTCGCTGAATGTATGTTACACCCCTCTCGAGTGTCATTGCGTGGCAAACTGTTGGTAGTGGGCCATCTGGACCCAGAGGAGGGCCCTGAGCCCTGGCTTAGCTCACATCACATGTGATCACTGCTTCTTCGGGCCTGCTCTCCCCTCCTGGGCAGAGTTGGGGCTGTGTGGACAGGAAAATTTGCCAAATGATGGAGGGATCAGGCCTCTGGGCCCTGACCCCTGACAGCACCCCAACCTTGGCCTCAGCCTGCGTGTCGAGCTCGGCAGTGATGAGCACAGCAATCATGGCAACACTACTGCTGTTCAAGCACCAGAAGGTAGAGCATAGTAGTGGGGCCCAGGGCAGGGCAGGGCATGGCCCTCTGCTTAGGCCTGCTTTTCTTCCAGGGTGTGGTCCTGTCCCAGCTCCTGGGAGAATTCGCCTGGTTGACAGAAGAGACACTGCTGCGTGGCTTTGACGTGGGCTTCTCTGGACAGTTGCGGTGCCTGGCACAACACACGCTGAGCCTACTGCGGGCACATGTGATCCTATTGCGTGTCCACCAGGGGGACTTAGTGGTAGTACCACGGCCTGGCCCAGGCCTCACACATCTCGCACGTCTGAGTGCAGACCTGCTGCCCACCTTCTTGAGTGAAGCCGTGGGTGGTGAGTCCATGGGCTCAGCAGGGATGAGATGTATGTAGAGAGAAGAGGGGACTGCTCCCTTCCTCATACTGGCCTTCTCTACCAGCCTGTGCCGTGCGGGGGCTGCTGGCAGGCAGAATGCCACCTGAGGGGCCCTGGGAGCTGCAGGGCATAGAGCTACTGAGCCAGAATGAACTATACCGCCAGATCCTATTGCTGTTGCACCTGCTGCCCCAAGACCTGCTACTGCCTCAGGTCAGCAGGGCCCTAAGGCTGCCCTTCCAACCTCCTGTGGCAGTGAGGCTGCCCCCCCAAGCCCTGGGTTTGGTTCTCTGAAGTGCATGGATGCTTCTCTCTGCAGCCCTGCCAGTCTTCCTACTGGTACTGTCAGGAGGTGCTAGACCGGCTCATCCAGTGTGGGCTCCTTGTTGCTGAAGAGGTAGGCCCCACCTGAGGCTTGATCTGCTCCACCCTCCCACCCTGAGTGCCAGCTTGCCGCACTGCTCCTTCTGCCCTTGTGTGCTCTGGGGGTGGACTACTCACTAGCCCAACACATAGAAATCTGGCTCTGCCACCCTGTGCTGTGTGTCATGCTAAGGTTGGATAGGTATACCTGTAAGGTTCCTTCTACACCGCTCCCACATTTCTTACCCAGTGCTGGGAGTGGGTTGGGTACTCACTTCCCCCACCTCACAAGCTGGCCCCCAGCAAGTGGCTCTGGGCAGGCATCCTTTTGGGCTTTTTACTGGTTTCACCTGCCTGAATCAGGTCTAAGCACTATAGGACTGATTCTTGCCAGGCCTTAGCAAGAGACCAATGACTCCCCGATTCCCTAGACTCCAGGCTCCTGGCCAGCCTGTGACACAGGAAGACAGCATCTGAGTGCAAATTTGCTGTGGAAACCAAGTGGGGAATTTACTGACAGTGAGAGTGATGACTTTGAGGAGCCAGAGGGCCGGTGCTTCAAGGTGTGTTGGGAGAAGCTTGCCCAGGAGGGGGGTGGTATGAAGGCAACTGAGAGCTGCCCTCACTCTGGCGTGTTCCTCTCCAGCTTAGTCAGCAGAAACGCTGCCCTGACTTCTTCCTTTTCCTTTGCCGCCTGCTCAGTCCAATGCTCCTGGCCTTTGCACAGGCTGCTGCCTTTCTCCACCAGGGGCAGCTGCCAGATTCAGGTGAGGCCCTCACACCCTTGGCAGTATTCAGGGCAGGGCTCAGCCTGCAGAGCCAGGGTCTAGGTCTTCCCTCTCCTGCAGAGTCTGGCTACTTGGAGCAGTTGTTCCAGTTTTTACAGGATAGTGCCCAGGAAAAAGAGATCTTTGGTGAGTTCCAAGCACACAACACAGGCTCCCTGAAGATGGTGCGTTTGCTGGTAACTGCTGCCCTCTGTTGGACAATGGCTGCCAAACTACAGGGAAGAGAGCTAAAGGGGGGCCACTGGTCCCTGACAAGCCCTGGTTGGTCCTCCTCTAAACAGGAGCTCTGCCTAGTGGCTCCCTGGCCTCCCTTTCTCAAGCTTTCATTTATTTCTCTTTCCCCCAGAGTGTGCAGACCCAAATCTCGCCATCAGTGCTATTTGGACATTCAAAGACCTGGGGGTGAGAGAATTCAGTGTCACCCTCCTGTCCCCAACCCCACCTTCAGCCCTATAGGCTGGTAGAACTACTAAAGGAAACCAGCTTGTTTCCCTACCCCATGGGGCTGGCCCTGATGAATACCAGACTGAATGGTTTTCCTGCTGTTCCTCTTTCAGACCACTAGCTTCCCCTACCTGGGGATAGTGTGGGGACTTGCAGTAGTGTTTACACTCAGACACTGAGGCTTAAGGGGCCAGAGGCCAAACTACAGGTTTTAGGGAATGGCTTGGCCCTGGGGACAGCCCCCACAATGAAGGTTCTCACAGTCCATTTCATGGTCCAGGTGCTGCAGCAGATGCCCAGCCCTACAGGACCCCAGCTCCACCTGTCCCCTACATTTGCCAGCCGGGACAACCAGGACAAGCTGGAACAGTTCATCAGACAGTTCATCTGCAGCTAAGATTAGATCATAAAGCCTGATGGAACTTCTTAGTATGCAACCTTCTGGCTCCTGTGTCTGGTGCCAGAAGGACATGAGGCCACATACTAAGCTGGACTTAGATAATGCATGTCCTTTGCTTTCTCCATCCTTTGGTGTGATAAAGGGAATGGCTAGTTTCCTAAGGCTGTAGTACATGTGTATATATCTGTTCCCTCCTTCCTCAGCCCTATGAAAATAGCTCATCTAGGAAAAGGAAAAACAAAAAACAACAAAACAAAAACCTATAACCTAAAAGACAGGGCCAAAGCCAATCTGTTGCTTTGATGGAAAATTTATTTCCCTGGTTGGTCCATCTTCCTTGGCCTTAGTGGCCTCTAGTAAGCAGGGTGAACAATGGGCTGAGTGGGAGTGATGTCCCATCTTGTCAATTCCAGTGCCTGCAGGGAAGCCATCACACCACCTTGTTGATGATGACACCAAGTTCTTCAATCTCACACTGGACTTCATCACCCTTCTGTAACAGCAGGTTATGAGGCTTTCAGCCCTTGGCTCTGGCACATGCCTTCTGCATCTCCCGGACTGCTCCAAGCCTGCCAGGCATCCCTAGCTCTCATCCTTTCCTTCTCTTAGCTAACTTACCTTGAGAAAGACGGGAGGATTCCTAAACACACCAACACCTGGGGGGGTCCCAGTCAGGATGAGGTCCCCTGGGTAAAGGGTGACAAACCTAGGGAAACCAGGAGGGTCAGCTGAGACCATGGGTTGAAGGTGGGCTGAGCCTCTAGGTGTGCCCAAGGCGGGGCTGGCAGTGACACACTCTGCCCACTTACTGGGAGACCCAGGCTATCAGGTCTTCTGTCTTGAACACCATCTGGTTGGTGTTGCTGTTCTGGACTACCTCCCCATTCACTCGGCAGCAGATCTTTAAGTTGTGTGGATCTGGAATGCAAAGTAATACTGTAGGGTTATCCCTTCCCTCCAGATGAGACTAGGGAACCTTGTGACTCGATGCATGTGGGAGCCCAGCTGCCCACCTTGGCTCAGCACTTCACCCTGGGGCTTCCTGTATAGACACTAGCCCCTGGTATCCCCACTGAACCATGCTTTAGTCTTCAGGTGAGTAAAGGAAGACATTCAGACTGCATGGAGAAAAAACAGCCAGGGGCTTTTTAAAAAAATGGACCTCTAGTCTACAGAAGAGGCTGAGAACTACAGCTCTAAAATGACTCAAAATCTCCAGAGCAACAGGGACAGCAAAGCAGTAAGTGATGGGCTACCCCAACAGTGTTCTGCTGATCTTCCCTTTTGAGCCCCTTTCTGGGATTTCTCCACCCCTCAGAGCAGATGGAATACAGTTGTGCCTTACCGAGGACTGACTGCATGGGGTGCTGAGGCATCATTGTCCTCTGTGAGGCTCACCCAGGTGTCATGCCACCCCTTCACCCCTCCCATGGCTATGCTCAAAGTTGGGCTCTGCCCTCCTGGCTTGCATGGTGTATCTCCTGCTTGTGGCTGGCACTGTGGGTACAGTGGTTGGGGGAGGTCCTGTTCATGCTTTCCCATCTCCCTTGTAGAAAATGAGCAGACTTTATCACTGCCACTCTCCCTGATGCTCAGAATCCAGCCTTGCTTCCTTCTGACTTAAGGACTGTTCCAGATGGCAGCAGCTAGAGGAAGCCCAGCCTACTTATCAGTGCAGTGTTGTTCTTTGTAGTTCACATTATGAATGCAGTTTCACAACAGCTGCAGCTGTGCTCCCTCTAAGGGACTCTGGAAATAAGTTCCACAGGGAACTCACAGCTGAGGCTGGTCACTTGCCCTTTGTGGGAACAGCAGTGACATTGCAGTTCTGCATATGGCTGTACTCACACCTCACCCTGGAGCACTGCTTTCTCCTGATGCCCAGATTTTGCACAGGGGCACACAAGCGGCAAAGGCCAGGGGCCTACCTGTTATGCTGTCCCTGGTAACCAAGGCAGGGCCCAGGGGGCAGAAAGTGTCGAAGGTTTTCCCTAGTAGCCACTGCTTTCCATTGCGTTTCATTTGCCAATCCCGAGCACTCACATCATGAGCCACAGTGAAGCCAGCCACGTGAGCCATTGCATCTGTGGCCTATTGGGGCAGATTTGGCCAGATAGATTATGTCACAGGTAACACCAATCCCTAGAATAAAAAATCTCAAAGCCATTATCCCACATAAGTAGCCAGAGCTAGCCAAAAGTGGGTGAAGGGCAAGACAGTGTCAAGGGTAGGATGTTGCCAAACATGTCCTAGTGCAGGAGACAGCACCAGCAGAGGCAGGAGCTGGAACCTCTGCTGCTCTCTGTCCTAGGAGCCCCCTTCCACCTCACCTTGATATGCTTGCCTTTCTTTCCAATGACCACAGCCAGCTCCACCTCCCAGTCCACCTCCTGCAAAGTGGGAGAGGAGCAGTGAGCTGCAGTGGCCCTGAGGGGGGCCTGGGTTGTCATGAATCAGAGCCAAGTGAATGACACCAGAGCTGTGATGTACAGACCCATAAGCTCTGGGCAGTGTCGGAAAGCACCACTGGTGATTACTGGGAGATCAACACATGTCCTGGGAACTGAGTTTAAAAGTCATTCTCAAGACAGGCATGGTGGCACACACCTTTAATCCCAGCACTTAGGAAGCAGAGGCAGGCGGATCTCTCTGAGTTCAAGGCCAGCCTGATCTACCATAGTGAGTTCCAGGCCAGCTGGGGCTACAGGGAGACCCTGTCTCAAAAAAGACAAAATCATTCTCGACATGTACATGTCCAATAAAGAGTGATACCAAATAGTAATAGCAACGTGTAATCCTATGTGCTGGGTACTATGGGTGTACTATAATGTATTCACTTAAATAAGAAAAGATCAACATCCATCATAAATGTAAGGAGCTAAAATATTTTACAAAAACATATGGCTGTGTTTTGCCTGCATGTATGTACATGCACCAGGTGTGCAGTGTTCAAAGACCAGAAGAGGACATCAGACCCCTTGATACTGGAGTTACAGACTGTTAGCCACTATGTGGGTGCCAGGAACTAAACCAGTACTCTTAACTGCTGAACCATCTCCAGTCCCTGCCTCTCTGTTTGTAAAACCCCTGTGAATTCCTGATTTTTCCTCCTAATCAATTTGGATGGCCCAGTTTGGTGCATGGGGCCTTCTTGTTGGTGCCCATTGCCTTTGGAGCACAGCACTTAAATACATGCAGCTAAAACACTGAAAAAAAAGTTTACCGTTAAAAAAACGGAGGTAGGGCAGGGGAGAAGGCTCAGTGGGTAAGAGTGCTTGCCATACAAGCCTGACAACTTGAGTTTCATCCCTGGATGCAATGGCACACGTCTGTAATCTCAGCACATTTATAGTGAGATGAAAGGCAGAGAAAAGATGCACCTGGCAGCCCTGGGCCAGCTAGCCTGGAGTACTCACTGCAGAGGCAGAACGAGAGATCCTATCTCAACAATGTGGAAGGCGAGAACTGACTCCTAAAAATTGTCCTCTGACCTCCGTGTGAGCTCTAGGACGTGTGTGTGCCTGTACTCTCACATGCACACAATAAACAAAGGTTAAAATAAAAGCTCAGAGGCAGCTTTCTTCAGAATAGTGCCACCTAGTAAAAGCAGAAGGCTTAACAGAAAAATCATCCACTTCAATGAATGCAACAGACTCAGGTAAAGATGACTCAGGATTCTGGGAAACCAGCAGAGCAGCAGCAGCACTGGATCCCAAACGACTACCTACATATCACTCAGTGATTACAAGGAAAGCACATTAGAGCAAATGAGTATTACGTGAACTGAGTCCTCACATTTCAGACACCCGATAACCTCCCAATAGGCTGCAATGGGAAGAACATGGCATTTCCTGTGTAGGGCGCCTTATAAAAATACGTTGACAAAATCTACTCACAAAGAAAAAAGGACAAACAGGAATGCAGGACAGCTATGACAAAACACGATTCTTCAGAACGTGTCATAAAAAGCTGGGTGTGGCACATGCCTTTAATCCCAGCACTTGGGAGTCAGAGGCAGGTTGATCTCAGATTGAGGGCAGCCTGGTCTACACAGTGAGTTCCAGGCCAGCTGGAGCTACAGGGAGACCCTGTCTCAAAAACAAAAAACCAAAAAGTGTCATAAAGGATAAAGGGTGGTGTGATTGTTTGAGAGCAGGGGTCATTAAACTATTACCAGCATGTGGCCTGACTTTCTAAATAAGTTGGTATCCTTTAAGTCTCACTGTTGGTGGCTTTCACACTAAAACAGAAGTTGTTGCCACAGAAACCATGTGATACTGAAGAGTCACTAACTGGACCATCAAGAAACAGTATGTGGACCCCTGTTTTATATTAAAGCTACTCATGAGAAACACCAATACAATGTGTAATCCTGGCTGATCCTGATCCAAAAAGGCAACCAAATTAAAAGTCATTTGGGAGCAACTGGTATATTTCTGACAGGACTGAGGCAACTGATCTATATACTACATACTGTGCATGTTGACGTTCTTAGTTATAATAAAGGTATTGCTTTATGCAGGTCACTGTCTGTATTCTTAGGAAAAGCATGCTGAAGTTCCTGTTGAGTTAACTGTCTTAATATCTGCAATTTCTTTTCAGAGATTCCTCCCCTGCACCAAGTGTGCATGCTTCTGGGAAAGAGCAAGCATGACAATGTCATGAATGCAGCTGAGGAAGGAAGTGTTTGAGTGTTCACTGTAGTAGGTAACTTTCCTGTAATGATCAAAACATGTCTAAACCAAAAATCTGAGAGCGAAACTAACTCATGTTTGTTAAGGGTACACACACTGTGGTGGCTATGTAGATGGCTTTTACAACTCTTTCAAAGGTCAACTTGGCAAATTTCTCAAAGGTTTTGAAATGCTGCTTAAATTTTGATACAGACATTCAAATTCTAAGGGTTTAGTCAAGAGAAACAAGCGGGTATTAATGGCTGTGCAGTTTTTATTTGTTGTGTGTGCATTTTTGTGTGCCAGGGAAGGTGTGTACAGGACATGACATACGCATGGAGGTCAGAGGACATCCTTGGGTGTTGGTTCTTACTGTCTACCCTGAGACAGGGTTGCCTATGGGTCACAGCTGCATATGCCAGGCCACCTGGCCTGGAGGCTTCTGGAGATCCTCCTGTCTCTACCTTCCATCTCACCATAGGAGTACTGGGATTATAGACGTGTGCTCCCACATCCAGCTCTGCCTGGATTCTGGGTGTCCAAACTCTGATTCTCACACATGCACAGCAAACACTTTACCCACTGAGCTGTCTCTCTAGCCCTCATACTTTCCAGGTAAGACAAGAATGTTCACTGCAACTCTTTAGCAGCCCAAAGCTAGAAACGAGTACAACCATAGGGAACTAGTGAAGTTAGTGCCACTGGTACAACAGAAAACGGTGTGGCAACCAGAAATGTGTCAGGAAGAAGACTGAATGGAATGAAAGCTGCTCCTGATGGGTCTGAGAACAAGGGAGGTTACGCATGGTAAGAACACATACGGGAATAGACAGCACTGGTAAAGTATGGAGCAAAACATAAATATCAAAAGCTGTGCCAGGGTGGATATTGGCAGCTTTACCTCATTTATTAACACACTTGTGTTGGAAAAAATTACTTTTTTATTTGGAAAAGATATCAGTTAATCCCTCCCATCATCCCCACCCTGGGCCATGTTATTACTGTATGGTTCCCTCTAGCTTCGGTGTAGTGTGCCATGGAGTGACAAGAGGGTAAATGAGCCTTGTGCTGGGCCCCAGAGAACCAGGTGTCAAGGAACACTGACCTTGCTCTCTGGTGGGAGGATGATCTCATCATACGGTCCCACAATGGAGCTGGCGAACTTGCTGAAGATGATGGGTTCCTTGGGCACCCGCACGTTCTGTTCTTTGCAGTGGTCTGCATAATTCATGCCCACACACACCACCTTGTCTGGCCGGGTGACAGGGGCCAGGAAGGTCAACTGTGACCTTGGGAGGACCGGCAATTGGGCAGCTAGGGCTCTGTAGAGACCAAATGGTCCAAGAAGGGGCTGGTTAGGAACAGGCTGGCAATCCCAGGGCAGGCTGGGGAGACCCTGTAGTAGCTGGGTTTTGCTTTTTCCACTTTCTAGACCTCTCAAACATCCCTGTAAAACTCAAACTGAGCCACAGTCCTTTGCTATCAAAGTACTGTGTTACTTACAGGTGCATGCTTCCTTCTGCACTTAGGGAATTCTTGCCTTGTAGAATAATTTGAAGGGTACCAATGGGACTAAGTGGAAAGGTCTCTTTCAACTCCTCATCATTCCAGGTCTCACCCTGGAGGCAACCACAGTGGTCCAGACGAGCTCCTAACAGCACTGTCATAACCTTCTCTCACCCTTTTGTAAACAGAGTTCCTCCTCCTACATATTACTACACGGTAGAGATACACTCAATTCCTAATGAGGGGAGTGGAAGTTTTCAATTTTTGAGAATGAGAATGTGACTGTTTAGGACCATACTGTCCCCAACACTATGCTGTCAAACATTTTGGGGGTCAGGGGCTGGCTGGCCAATTCAGTAGTTGAAAACGTCTTAAAAGTGCTTTCAATTTCAGGGCATTGTGGCACATGCCTTTAATCCCAACACTGGGGAGGGAGAGACAGGTGGATCTCTGTGAGTTCAAGGCCAGCCTGGTCTACATAGCAAGTTCCAGGCTAGCTGGGGCTATATGGAGACCCTATCTCAAAAAGAAAAAAGGCAGGAAAAAAATGCTTTTAATCTACTTTTCTTTGCCTCTTTAAACCAGATTCCACAGTTGGCTTCAGGGCCACCCCCACTTAATCTAATTGTAACCCCCAGTTAATCTAACCAATTATTTTGATGAAAATCTCTCTTCAGTCCTCTCTCCCCTAGGAGTCAGGAGTCCCAATCACTCCTTCATCTTCCCAAAATTCCTTTCTCTGAGGACCTTATAGAAGGCCAGGCCCCTCAGGTGGAAGGACGAAGCCTCCAAGAAGGCAGTGTAATGAAGTAAGGTCCTGGCTCCACCACCAATAGTTTCATCCTCCTCCCTGGGCTTCAGTTTCCCTCTCTAAATTGAAGATGTTATCACAGGACTTTGAGGGCTTTTGCTGGGCATGGTCATGTACATCTGTAATCCATCCCAGCATTCAGGAGGCTAAGGCAGGAGGTTCTCCAGTTCAAAGCTAGCCTGAAGTACATACCAAGACTGTGTCTCAAAAATCAAAGACTTCTTAAAAAAAAAAAATGGAAGGCTTCTAAGTCTATTTGCTCTTAACTGAGAGAACTAGTAAAGAAAAGGAAAGGTGGGGTTCCCCTGTTCCTTTGCAAAAAAGCTCCCCACTGGCTCAGGGTGAAGGAGAGAAATGGGAGGAGGAGAGGTGACAGGGCAGTACTGCCTGCTGACTTACCTTCTTGCCACTGAGAGGGTAGACTCTCCCTGCTCCAGGAACTGCATCATCGTCTTGGGGAGTGTGGGGTCAAAGGCATTGAGGTCAATGACTCCACCATTCCCCGACTCCAGGCCCAGGTGGGGCCCCTCCAGGTGGGGTGCTTGGAACTGTATCAGTCTCATGTCTCTAGAAGGTTGGCAGGGCCGTTTCTGGGCCTGCAGCAGACCTAAGAACAACTTCTTACCAGAGCCCAGCATCAAAGCCTACACAGAGAGAGAAAAAAAACAGTACCAGTGGGTTGGAGAGCTATCATGAGGACCCCTGAGTCCCTGTGTCCCATCAACCGTCCCTGGCATACCACATGGGTCATTTTACCCTGCTATTCTTCATAGGGTAAAAGAAAACAGACGACTATGCCAGGCACTAAGTGAGCCCCAGGGATTCCAGCCTTTCTTCAACCAGTGTTTTTTGATAGTTCCCACTGCTGTAGGCAGTGGAGAAACAATCTGCCAATTCAGCTCTTTCATCTTGTGTGCAACGGAGACAGACATGGACAACGGATAATACACCAGCTTTAGTCATTGAGATGCGGCTGTGAAGATGATCAGGGCCCTGCCTGTCTAGCTTCTAGAGGAAGTTCTGTGAGCTGAGCATGGCTAAATAAAATGCACAGGACCAGGAATTAGCCTTGAGTTAGGCAAGTGGCCCTACTGGAAATGGCTTCCCAACTGCCTCATGCAACTTTTTTAAAATGCTAACTCAATCCTGTTGCCCTCTGACTTAAAATGCTTTCTGGTGCTCACATGCTGAAACTAGAGCCTCTACTAGGCTACCCTAGCCTAGGAGCTGCCCTCTGCCTCTTGTCAGGCAGGCATTAATCAGTTTCTGCTGCCGGAGCTCAGACAGCTTGGCGTAGTGGTGGGGGGCTTCAGACACTCAGTGGGCCCAGGCCTACTGCACTGCTCAGCTGTCTCCCCAGTTGAGGTTTCATCTCTCTCACTGCTGAAACTACAGTGCTGCTCTGTAGGTGGAGTGGCAAAGGCTTTCAGTGACTGTTTGTTCAGTGAACACAATGAACACAAGGGCTTGACTTTGTCAACTTTGGGAAGTGGCTGGCCATGCCTTCCCTCCTCAGATCATGTAGGAAATAGCAACAGGGTTCAAGTCCTGTTTTGAGTTCCAGGTTCCACTGACAGATAAGCCCCATTGTCATGTTTGTTTTGTTTTGTTTTGTTTCTGTGGTGCTGGGGACTGAGACTGAGCTACATCCCATTCCCAGTGTTCTTAATCTAGGTCTGGTCTCTACTCCTTGCCACGCAGTTCCTTCCCTTTAGGATATTTTGCTTTTTAAAACAGCCCTCCCAGTTTTGGGGAGGTTGAGACAGGTGAATCTCAGGCTTGCTGGACAGACAGCCTAACCTAATTGGTCAGCTCCAGGTCAATGAGACCCTGTCTCAAAAAACAAGGTAGATAGCTCCTGAGGATCACTTAAGGTCTCCACATACATACATACATACATACATACATACATACATACACACACACTCTGCATGCATGTGTACACACAAATCCACAAATAGCCCTTTATGCTAAAAATACCAGTAACTCTGAGTCCCAAGCTCTTGGTCCTCACCTGGTTGAGTCAGCCTGTCCTGTCCAATTAAAGAACTTACTAGGTTTGGGTTACCACAGTGCTGACTTGCTAAGTCTGGTCAGAAAATAAGTGTTTTTTGTGCCCTGTCCTGTTATCTTACAGAAGCACCACCATGCCATTCTCCAAACACTATTCCAGTCAAACACTAAAATGACAGTAACTGCTCCTCTGGAAGCCAAGTTAAGTGTTCTACCTATAATGTGTCTGATTTCTTTTTTAAAAAATTATTTTTTATGTGTATGTGTGTATTGCCTGCATGTAGGTAAGTGCACCCGTGTTGTGCACTGCCCTCGGAGGTCAGAAGAGGCTGTCGGATCCCCTGGGACTGGAGTTACGAACAGTTGTTAGCTGCCCTGTGGGTGCTGGGATTCGAACCCGGGTCTTCTGCAAGAACAACCATTATTCTTAACCACTGAGCCATCTCTTCAGCCCCTAATTTAATTCTCTTGACTGTGGTAGGCAGGTACTATTAGCCTCATTTTACAGAGGAACCAGCTAAGGGGTTTGCCTAAGGTCCAAGGGTCATACAGTTAGAAGAAAGAGCTGGTATTTGAATCCATGTCTAGGTGAAGGTTCAGAAGCAAAGTGTTTCACAAGCAAGATAATCTCACTTCAACCCCACCTACTCCCCCCAGGGGGCTTCCGACAGCAGATCCTCAGGCTCTAACTGACACCAACCCTTATTGCCAACAACCATGGCCCCTTAAGGGCAGTGGCTTCAGAGATAGGCTGAGCACCTGCTCTCATAACCCCACTGATTGTGCGGGCCCCACGTGAAGGGCATGTGCAGGAAAAACACCCCCCTTCTACAGAAGGTAGCAGTCTTCAAGAGGTAAAGTCACCTGCCAACGGGGCGCTGGTGTTTTTGTAATCACTACTAAGCCTCACAACACAAGGATCTGTTCGCAAAGAGGCCGCGAAAGGAGGTGGAAACAGCACAGGCGTGGGCACCGTGAGACGCGGGTCCGTGCATGTGACCCTGGACCGGCGCCCAGTCTCCGCGAACCTTAGTCGGCCACTCGGTTTCCTGATGCCAGCGCCTGCTCCCTGCCCGCGCGGGCTCGAGGGCAGTCACCACCCTCCCCTGGTCTAGCCTCCGCTTACCTGGCCGTCGGTCACCACCCTCCCGTGGTCTAGCCTCAGCCTACCTGGCGGGCGGTCACCATTTTGAGGTCTAGCCTCAGCCTACCTGGCCGGCGGTCACCACTGTCCTGTGCTGGTCTAACCTCAACCTACCTGGCCGGGACGGCGGGACCCTGCGCTGTCAGTCGGGGCCTGCGGGGTCGCAGGTCAAGCGCAGCGAGAGATGGAGTCCACGCAGCTCGCGGGGGTACGAACAGTTGAAACTACGCGGCGCGACTACTCCATCCGGGTCAAGGCGCGCACTGCTTACGTCACGAAGCCACAGTCACTAGGAGGACGCCAGGTTCCTCCCGGAAGCCGTGTGCGCTCAGGCCCATGGGCACGGAGCAGGCGCTGTGGGTGCGCATTTCCAGCAGCTCGCTCACTCCAGGGGTCCTTGGGCTTGCTGGAGGAGAGAGAGCTTCCTGAGGTTTTGAGCTTCTGCCTCCAGTCCGGGCCCTGTGGACAGACGGAAATGTTTTTGTCCTCCAACATTGACCTGTGGAGGAAAGAAGTGGCTGTGTCTGTTTTACTGGTGGAGAGTTTAAGGCCAGAAGTGGTTTTGCTCAAGATGGCACTTTGTACCCAGTATGAGCAATGGAGCCAGGATCTCGACGCCCACGTTCAGCCACTTCTAGAACTGTCCTGACAGAGGCAAGGATATTCTGAAGAGAGTTACTTGTGCCCTTTCCTCCAGCTATCGTTGAAACAATGGCTCCCAAGGAATTGAAATTTCCACAGGAATCTCATGCTGGGGGAATGGAGACGTTGACGCCTGTGCCAGCCAGAAGAGAAAAGTCTCTCAGGAAGAGGCTGCACACAGTTTTGACGACGGGTCAGATCACCTTGCCAGAGAGAATGGAGCTGAGATAATGATGAACCAATAATGTGCAGGCCCTCAGCTTGATCAGGACTGCTTAGCTATGCATACCTCTTGCCCTCTATTTAAACTTAAACCTTGTGTCAGGACCCCAAAGAGGGACTTGGGGGTGTGTCCCTGGACCTCTCTATTTGTATGGCCACATAGAGTTTTCCTGTTTTTCAGTGCTCCTTGTCGCTTTAATTGACCTACAAGTGACCTCACTTAGCTGGCTAATGCCTCCAGAGCCCTGGTTTTGACCCTTATAACTCCAGGAGTCATTTATTCTTACAGCCTTGTCTTCATATGCCCTGCTTTGGGGTGGGGAAATGAGGTAGCAGGGAAATGAGGCATTGTCTCCATCTTAGAGAGCAGGAATTTTAGTGGAGATCCCATTTGATTTAACACAACCAACTCCCCACACCTCTGGCATAGGATGACATAAAGAGAGCCCTGAGAAAGAGGCCCAGATTAATCAAGGACCAGACAGATCTTCAGAGGCTTTAGTTGTACCAGGAAAAAGTTTGGGCCTTACTTCCCCACCCCCTATTGAGGCATTTTATTTATGTATATTTTATGTGCCTAGAAAAAGAATTCCAGGATTTTCTCTCATGTATATTTTCATCTTCTTTCTTCATGGCCCATGTATTGTGTGATTGGTGGACTAATGAGTTTTACTGGGGATACTTACAGGAGCAGAAATGACTCAAAGACAGCTGCATCACCAAAAGCCCACCCCAGCATGGGTGATGATTCATAAAAGCTGGGAACCTGGAATGTGCAGGTTTCTACTTGCAGGCAGCTCAGTAGGTTGGAGAAGGTCTCTTCCCCATAACTCATTTGGTCTGACTGAACCTCTTCCAGGCAGCTTGTCTGGTCTCTGCCTTTCACAGGTGACTTGTCTTGTCTGCCAGCATCTCTCAGGTCCTTAGAGCTGTTATGTATGCTTTAGGAAGGAGAGGCCTAGTGAATTAGGTTCAGGAACTTCCTGAAGTTATTGACTTGGTTACTTCTTGAGCTTAATGAGCTTCCTTGCAAGATGGAATGTTTAATCTCCCCTTAGAACATCCCCTAAGATGGAAGGTTTTTTTCTCTGAGGGCTATATAATGCTGTGATACCAGCTGAAGTTATCAGTACAATAAAGACAAACTGACAGAATGGGGCCAGATTCTGTCATTTTTCTAGGTTTCTGAGCTGCACATCAAGTTGGGGCTGATTGTGTTTATTTAGCCTGCCTGTGAGGTTCACAATAATGTGTCCCTAGATCTTTGGTCATCAATGATTCCAAATTTGCTAATGAAATTAGGCTTCATCATCACATTTAGAAACCAGACAAATGACTTTAGAGTATCCCATGCCTGAGGAGCATCCAAAGGGCACTTCAGGGTGGTAGTTGGAGATGGGAATCTGGATGGTAGCACTTTGGCCTAGCTTAAAGAAGGTCTCAACATAGTTCTAAATGGAACCCATGGAGGTGGCTGAGATCTCTTAAGTGAACAGAACCTCATCTGCAGAGGCAGGTAGATCTCAGTGAAATCAAGGCCAATCAGGTCTACATAGTGATTTCCAGGCCAGCTGTGGCTCCAGGGAGACCGTCTCTTAAAAAGCCCCAAAGGAGGCTGGAGAGATGGCTCAGTGGTTAAGAGCACTGGCTGCTCTTGCAGAGACCTGGGTTTGATTCCAGCACCCACACGGTGGTTAACAGCCATCCATAACTCCAGTTCCAGGGGATCCAATGCCCTCTTCTCACCTCCCAGGGCTTTGTACAACGTGGGTGCACTTACATACATGCAGGCAAAACACTCATACACTAAAAAAGGACCAAAAAATGAAATATATATATTTTTAAGACAGGGTCTCCCTCTAGCCCCAGCTGACCTGGAACTCACTTTGTAAACCAGGCTGGTCTTGATCTCACAGAGACCCACCTGCCTCTGCCTCCAGCACACTGGAATTAAAGGCACCACGCCAAGTGAAATATTTAAAAAAAAACCCACAAAACTTGTATCCGGACTGTACAAAGAATTCTCAAAAGTTAATAGGTGAAAATAACCAAATTGAACACATTGTTGAACAAAAGATTTGAATAGATAGCTGCATCAAATTTGGTACACAAAGGGTTAGGATGGACAAGATATCCAACAACATCATCACAAGAATCACAGTCACAATGGCACCATTGTACACCTACTACAGAGAACAACAAAAAAAACAACAACCCAGTTATGTTTTTTATGTTAAGTGTTAGCAAGGATGTGGAGGGATTAGAATTCTTGTCACTGCTGACAGCATTATAAACTAGTACACAAACTTCTGAAAACCATTTCTCAGTAAATATACACCTATCATGATCTCACCATTTCTTTACTGGATATTGACAATATTGAATTTTACTTTAGCCCTGTGGTCCTAGAAATAGCAAAGATTAAGAAATCCCGGGGCCATATATGGCAGTTCAGAGTGCTTAGTTCTCTTGCAGAGGTCTGGAGTTCAGTTCCCAGAACCTGCAATCAGATGGCTCATAACCACCTATGACTCCCAGCTCTGGGGGATCCAGTACCCTCTGCTAGCCTGTATAGGCACCAGCACACACATGCACAGACACACATTAACATGAAAAAAACAAATCTTTAAAAAATAAATCCCTCCACTTTCTGTATTCCATGAAACAGCTCACTAGAAAAATCCATCCTTTCCCACATGACTAAGAGTCTACATGTTGTATTGTTTACCTGTGGACAACGCAGGCATAGACCCTGCAAATTCCCATTCTTTGCCTGATAAATGATCAGCTGATCTGTTCATTCCCAGTGTCAGTCGGAGGAAAAAGCTTGTTAAACCTTGGGAACTGAGCCCCCAACCTGTGGGGTCTGATACTATCTTCAGATAATTGAATGAGGATACCCAGCTAGTGTCCACTACTGCAAAATCACTTGCTTATTTGCTGTGTGAGAGAACTTGTCAATATCTGGCATCAGAAGTGATCTGTGTTGTGAACACACAGCAAGAGAAACTGAGTCGGAATTGTTTTTCTTATAATATCCTCAGTCCCCCGAATATTCTGTCACCTAAAATGTAAAGTGAGGTCCTAGCAACTTGCATATAAAATAAAGACAGGAGGAAGAGAAGAAACAGATGGTTAGCGTATGAAATAAAGTTTGTGCAGAAAACAATCAGATTAAAGGTGCAAAGCTACCACCACCCTCTGCAGTGGACACTGATGGCTCTCTTCTCCCCTGTACACTCTGTATTGCCCCAGCCTTCCTTCAGTACCTCAGGTGCTTGAGGTACTTGACAAAATGAGTGACCCAACTTTCATTCATAACATGTTGAGCCGTCTGGCCCTATACTTATGATTCCTTTGGGGTTTTCATTTATTGTTGTTTTGAGACAGGGTCTCATGCATCCCAGGCTGGCCTGGAATTTGCTGTGCAGTCAAGGGTGACCTTGAACTCCTGATCTTCCTGACTCTACCTCTCAAGTGTTGGGATTACAGGAGTATTTCACCACAATTAGTTCCTGTTGTTTTTCATTAACCTTTTACTCTCGGACAGAGAGATGCTAAGCGCTCTAGAGAATGAGTGCCTTCAGTTCCATAGTTCTTTTGCTTCTATTTCAGTGCATGTTCTCCTTGAGAACCCGAAATTTCCCCTAGTAACCAGAAGCAACCATTTCACCCAATGGATTGGGCTTTCACTCCTGTTAATTCAGTGGCACTGGGGGCCTAATGTGGGCAGGAGATAAGGTGATCTTACAACTTAGTGGAGCCATGACCACTAAGAGATGGAGCTCAAAGCACTCAGAAGAAGCCGGGGCTGGAGTGATGGCTCAGTGGTTAAAAGCACCAGCTGCTCTTGCAGAGGATCTGGGCTCAAATCCCAGCACCTGCAGGGCATCTAACAACTGTCCCTAACTTCAGTTCCAGAGGATGTGACACCCTCTTCTGTCCTCCTTGGGTACTGCATGATACCGGTACATTTAACATGTAGGCATAACACTCATACACATAAATTTTTTTTTAAATTTCAAAGGAGAAGCAAAGATTCTGTGAATAAATTATTAAATGTATTAGAGAATCCACTCTTACAACTAACCCCTTGATTGCTGAATCCATGTATTCTGACTGCCAGTCACCAAAGAGTGGGTTCTCTTTTAAGACATATGCCACATTCACATCCTTTCAAGATGTTGTCTCCACCTGTTACCATACCTGAATCTTCAGTGAGGAATGCTTCAGATGGGTCAGATGCTTCCAGATAATGGGGCATATGGTGTGAAAACAAGACCCGTGTGGATGAATGTTCCTAAGGCTGTGCTTCATTTGCTGGGCATGAGCTCCTCAATTTTAATGCTAGGTTGATGACTCAGGTGTTCCAGTCCTCAGATGGTGCCAGCAGCACATTATGTGCA